AGAAACAAGCCTGCAGTGGCATCTAGACCACGGGGGGTTAAACTTCCTTCCATTTTTATTGCTCACTTCTCACAGGTACTGTTATTTGTTCTCATCTACTAACGCAGAAGTAATTTAGTCACATCTCGATCAGTGTGCAACTCAATGCATTGGATGAGCGCTTCAGAAACGTGTGGCCTTATGTAAGGTGAATTCCAGCAGGTCACTCAGGAAGGCAGAATTAGTGCTGATACCACCTAACTGCTGTTAGCGCCTCTCTCCCGGTCACTCAGCACGCAGCTGGCAGCACGCACACGGACAGCAAGGCTCTGCCTCCTGCGATACGGCTACACAGCTGCAGGGAGTAACACACAAAACTGGGAGGCAGCTCGATGGGATGGCGCTGGCATAGTCACCCTTTTCAAGTTCTGCTGGTGAAATACTGGAAGTACTTGTAAGAAAGTGTGGCACGGGGTGACACGGACACACCACGTGCCAAGGCCAAGCCAACTCAAGGAGTCTGAGGTGCCTCTGAATGAGGTGAGTTCATAAAGCCTGTGCCAGAACACCAAAGTGGTAAGCACTAAAACCAGCCTACACCCAAAACTTGCAAAGCTGGGGCAGGAGGGAGGGAGAGCAGTGGGTGGAGGAGCACCGTGCCCTGGCCCGACCTGCACCGCTCGCTGCAGGGACCCACCGGAACCTGCGGCGGAAGGAGAGGCTTTGCAGAGCCTGTGGGTGTTTTTTCCCCTTTTGCTTGCTTTCTTTTTTCCTTCTTCTTTTTCTTCAACATCAGGATCAAGAGAAGGGACGGTAAGTTAACTTGATGGAAGTCCCCCATCAGTAAATATTTTTGCCTCTGACGGCGCCTCATTAAGCAGCTGCATACTCTTGCAGGCGAAAGAGTCACAAAGTTTTCTTTGATGTGAAATAGTTTCAAAATAAGCCAATCAGACTGGAAACTGTACACTTAGATGCTTGATTAATTACTGGTTTGCTAATTGCAGATGTTCAAGTCATGGGCCCTTTTCATTTACCTGTCTCCCATAATGTCAAACAGCACGTTGGGCAGGCAAAGACACCAGCCAGGCCGAGCGCAGGAGACTAATTAAACAGAACGCCGCAGCAGAACAACCACCCAAGCATAAATATGTTTCTGCTGTCATAATACTCTGCTATAGCAGATTTTATAGTTCTAAAAATTAACTTTTCATAAAGTTCTCTGAACAGCTATTTGAAAGTAGAGAGCATCACCATCTTGTATCTTCGTTACCCAGCGACAGGTCTTTGTACCTCCATGTAGCATGTGCAGCCTGTTTTGTCTCCCTGTATTAAAAACAACCAACAACTGCTCGCAGCTCCCCCCGTGAGCTTGCGCCCTGCCCCTGTGATGGTGGGAGAACTGAACCGAAAGCACCACCGAGAGCTGCTGCCATAAAACCCTTCCTGGCCCCTTGGCGGATGGAAGCTGACACACTGAACCTGTGCGCGGTGTCCTACCCAGGGACCAGCAGTCCCTCTGCAGAGCAGCAATCCCGAAGCACGGCGTTCAGGTGACATCGGCCGCCTGCTCCCCGCTGCTGCCCCTCACGCTAAGCCCCCGCGCCTTCACCGCCTGGTGCGAGGCGCTCCCGCGCGGTGCTGCCTCACGCAGCGCCGCAGCCCTGCGGCCGCTCCCCCGCCTGCCCCGTGCCGGTTCTCACCAACGGCTGCGGGCCCGGCCCGGCCCTGCCCGGCCCTCCCCTCCCCACCGGGCACCCCCCGCCCGGCCTCAGGCGCCCCCGTCCCGTCGCTGCCCGCCCATTGTGCGGCCTCACCGTGCCGCCGTCCTTAATGATGATCTTCTTGGCCAGCATGACGCTGCGGTTCGCGGCGCGTTTCTTCTTCTTGCCGCCCTGGCTCATCTTACCATCCTCCGGCGCGGCGCGGCGCCCAGCCGAGCGAGCAGCGCGGCCTGGCCCGGCCTGGCCCGGCCTCCCCGCCCCGCGCCTCCCCCCCTGCCGCCGCCGCCGCCGCCGCTCGGGCTCGGGCTCAGGCACGCGCCGCCATCTTGGCCAGCCGCCCCGGCCGCCGCCGCGCCTCACGCGATCGCCCCATTGGCCTCCCGACGGTCACGTGGCCGCGCCGCCCGCCCCGCGGTGCCCGCCCGCCTCAGCGCCGGCCCCGGCCCCGGCCCCGGCCCCGGCCCGCCTCAGCGCCCCGGCACCGCTGCCCCCAGCCCTGCGCCCTCACATTTCCTGCGTATCCCTGTCACCCCAGCTCCTACGGGAAAAAATCCCACGTTCCGTGGTTTCTCACTGCTTTATTTGGAAAGGAAAGGGGACCGAAACTTTGGCACGGTTTCAAGCCCACCCCCTGGAGTGGTGTCACTCTGTGGTGGGAGTCACACAGGTGTACGTTAATGTAGGGAGCTCGGGTTAAAAGGGCACCACAACTGTACATCAGCGATGACATCCTGTGACCAGGCTGGTTAAAGAGATGCTTTTCCACCTGTGCATTTATATTAGACCAACCTTTGTTATCAATGGCATTATCCAAAAATACATGCATCTTAAGAGAAATAACAAGCTTGCTTATGTAGGTGGAACAGGTGGCTCAAGTAAGAATTCATAAATTTAGAATAAAGTCTAAATAAACATGACTTGCTTTTGCTGTCATTAATTTCAGCCAGCTACATATCTCCAAATTGCAAACTCCACTTACCTACGTAAGTCCTGACACAATCCGCTCTACCATTACTTAAGTGAGACAAATTCCTGACAAACATTTAGTTTCCTGAAGAAGAGAAACAAAAGTTTTGTCTGTTACATCCAAACACCTGTACTGCTCAACCTGCAGTACAAAGCTAATGCCTAACGCTAACCATTAGCTGAAGATTTTACACCTTTTTTGAATTGGAATGAAAATGGACAAAGCACTTACATTCCCAAGTGAAAACCTTGATTTTGAAGCACCAATAATGGTTTTAATAGTTTCAGTGAAGACTCCTTGCTTTTAGGCAAAACCCAAATTACAGCATTCCCCGGTGCCCTGTCCTAACTATGCTCTTTTGGTCAGTTGATGAGTCATTCTTTTCTGTAACCTAATGGCCTAAAAAATGCAGTATAAATCATACTGATTCCACTAAATTCAGAATGTAATTGATAAAAGTACAATTACAAAAAGAACTGACAGAATAGGAGTCCTGAGAATTATTGGTGCATAGCTGGTGAAATAACTTGATTTTAATGTATATAGATGTCTGGAAGGCACAGGGAAATACTGTTATTCACCTTCTATAGCAATGCCTTTGTGAACTGTTCAGGTCTTTGCTCTATTGTAAATTACACCTACAAAAACCCCTCAGCTTCTGAACTGTAGCAATCAATAGACTGTGCTGTATTCTAGACAGTGTATCATATAGTACTTTCCACTGCTATCAAAACTATTTAAAACAAAACAAAAACCACCAACAAAACACCACCCAAGCTACTGAATCACAGCCTGTCTCCTGATAACTTGTGGCACAACCCTTTACAATGGATTACAGTACTTTACACTGCATATCATACAATACCCTACTTCCCAAAAAGCTCTTGAAGAACTTTAAAAAGATGGACCACTACTTTCCTTATATGAAATTAGATGCCTAGAGTCTTTGCAAAGCAACTTGTAAAAATTGCATAAGATGCTAAAGAAGATGCAAGCCTAGAGTGCAATAGTGTTTCTCAGATACAAATCAGGAATATTTCCCTTGGAGTAAAAACAGTGAAGTAATGTTCTCATTACTACCCACGAAGCCAGTTTATGGCACAAACAGCATCCTCCCAAGGATCTGCTTACTATTGGTAGCATAACATTAGGCAAAAAGTTCCAGAGTGAGTTTTCATTCAGAAGTGCTTTTACAGAGATTGCCTCACACTGTGCAGCCTGATTAAACATATCAGTGACTCACTCTCACTTACAGACAGGTAAAGACTAAACCTTGCAAGATCAAGAATATGAATAGAAAATCTTGCAGCTCCCTGGCCTCACACTAACGCTGTGAGGAACTGTATTAGATGTTCCTTACAGCCTCCTGTTCATGAACTCTAGTTCTGAAGAAGGAGATCAGGATTTTCAGACTAGATGAGAGTGCAGAGACAGACAGCCACTAGAATACTGCTGGAATGCATTCACAAATCAGGATACATTGGTCAAAAAAGTCTGTCTCAGTAAAAATTAAAATTGTGCCAAAAGGAGGGAAAAAAAAATCAGTATTTTATCCCATTACAGATTTTCAAAAGACTTCATGTATTCTGTGGTTCAGCAGTGTAATAGCAATAAAATGACTTGTTTCCAAACTGCTGGGAAACACCATATATTAGAATCGTATTCAGTGTAAGTACACATGTATCAACATCAACACACAAAAAATCCTAACACTACCCTAAAAATTTTGCCACAATGTTTGAATATACAATTTATATTTGTGCTTACATATTTAAAACTTCATTTAAAATATACTGAAAAAATACAAACGTTAAAAAAATCTATAAAAGTGTTACTCAACAGCAAATATATGTTTAACATATAAGCAATTTTTACTTGGTTATCAATTGCTAATGAAATCAATATGGCTAAGTAGTCAGAACAACGATGTAAGGTTTGAGGCAAGAATTAAAAATGTAATGGCAAAATTCTGCTCTTGGATGCAAATGTGTAGAAGACATTCAAGAATGAGCACCGAACTGCACCACAGGACAGATTTTTTTGCTTCTGCAAAGACCTATAAAATCACCTAGCAGGAAATAATTAGACAAAATCATTAATTCAACTAAATAGGAAATTTGGATTCACAGTAACTGGAGCAGAAATTGTTATCTAATTAATCCCACTTATTTTGTTGCATTTTCCCCTGCATTTTATCCACTAAAAATATCCTCATTCTAGAAGTGTATAATGAGCTCACCTGGAAAGAGTAGAAAGAAAGAGTTCTCAAATAACTTCCTGTGGAGGGAAAAAAAATTGGCATTAAAAATGAACAGAACAACGATAACAAATGAAGGGCACATTTCTTGGACTTTCTTATAAGAATACCATAGGTAATGATACACTACCACGTATATGGTATAACAGCACACTACAGATAAACATTACCTTTCTAAAACACGCACGCAAAACATTCACTTTTAAAAAATCTTACAAAAACATGGATTTAAGAGAAGAAAAATAATAATCTTCCTCACTTACAATATCCAGCAAGAAACACTGTCAACAGGAGGAAAATGAGCAACAGCTTCAAATTTGGCAAATGATTGCTTTTGTACAACAGAATGTGCATGGCTGATATGGAAACATAGAAACAGATGAAAGTTACAGACAACAAAAAACATAAGAAATGCAAAGGTTCATTTATCACTTTTAAAACAGTTTGACAAAATCCATTACAGTCTCTTGAATTACAGCCATAAAATTAAGTTAGGAACACAAAATGGTTAAGTACTCTCAAAAATCTGTTAAAGGACCTTATGAATAAGTGAAATGTAAGCATATGCTCCCAAAATAAAGTAACTTATTTGAGAGAAAAAAAAAAGTAAAACTATTTTCTTAAAAAGTTATAGTAAAAACAGGTATTATCTCATACAAGCAGGAACTAGTACACTAATCTATCCTCTATTATTAAAGCAAACAAAAATGGAAGTTTTGCTACAGTTTGTCTAAAACAAAGAACTTTAATAGAGCTATAAAATTATCAGAATTCTTTGAGAAAAAAGATAATTGGGCACTTGCGGTTAACATGAAAATACAATGTTCAAAGAAATGTTCACTTTACTTTATTAGATTTAGGATTTTTCACCGCTGAATTGCTGATTTATTTTGCTTTGGAGACAGTTCTAATAGCTTACTGGTATTTGACCATTTATAATGTATCCCAGAGATTCTCAAATAAAACTACTGAACATCCAAGTATTCAATAAATACTAGTACTCTCATTATGTAAGCCTTCAAAAAATCATATAATTCAAGTTATTGCAAATAAATATCTAGCTGTAACTTCATAAATATTTAAATAAAATTCTGCTGAGTATAGATTAGCCTCCTAAATATACAATTAAACTGACAAATCCATTGTCTTAAAGTCAGAACTGTAATTCAGAAAGACAAGTTTATTTTTGGAAAGTTAGACTCCTACAGACCGCTTTTAGGGCACACTCAAAGCACACTGTTCCTTGTGTCCCAATGCTCTGCGCTAGCTATGCTTCTTTGGTTAGTTAATCAGCGATTGAATTAGATTTATTTTTTCCCCCTCAGATCCATAAGTATCCCAATGGGAAAACGCACATATGCTTTCAGGATTGCAGAAGTTACAGAAATCTGTAAATCCTCCTCAAATCCTTTCCCTTCACAAGAAGGGCACACCGCCTTCCTGCTCTCTAGAGTAATGCTTTTCAGCCTGGAGGTCCCTCAGAAGCTGTAAGTGGCTAAGGAAAGGCAGCTAAAAATGCAAATTCATATTTTCTTTACAGCGACAGGTGCATAAAGAGATCTGTCCCTCTACTAGAAAATTTAATGGGACTGAAAATTGAAAGCATGACAGTCACTGACCCAAAGACAGGAGTCACCATTCCTGAACACAACAGGTATATTGTTTTCCAGAGCTATTAGGTCCTATTCAAAAGCAAAGTGCACATATTCCCATTCTTTCCTATAAGCTGAAGCTTAAAGACAAAAATATTAAAACTGGGTTGTGTTTAACAGAACTCCAGCAATGCACTGATCACTGGGCCTGTTTGGTCCCGTCCTGTGCAACTGGTTCTAAAGTGTTCTCAGTCTGCTCCAATTTTCTGGAGAAATTCCTCAACAAAGTAACCAATTCCATCACCTGAACATTTCCACTACTGTGATTCATGCTTCATGAATTTAAAACTACTGTTGTGTAGGCCAAATTCCAATTCAGATATTCCTACCAACACTCATCAAATCATTTCACAGTCACGTGTACTTCTCTTTCTACACTAAGTAACGCTGTGAGCTACTACTCAACACATCTTACCCTCGTGTTGTATTTCAGTGGTAAAGTGATGTAAGTTTTGATTTTGCCTGATTGAGTGTTAGAGGTGAAAGGTTTAATATTAAAAGTAGGACGCCAATTTAGGGTAATATTAGATAATTTTGACTACCAAATAACGTAGCTCCTGCAATTATGGCATGCTAGGGATTGATGTGCAGTTTGGAAAGCTTAGCATGCCCTTGGCATAACACCGACATTACTTCCTTGCTCTGACGCTACAGACAAAACATTGATGATGCATGCCATTGACAACAAGAGAAAGCAGTATTTTTACTTGGCTGACATCAGGTGGAATTCTTCCTTTTCCATTTACAATACTTAAAAATCTCAGAGTGCTCTTACAGAATCCTCTCTTGGCAATCCACCATTTACAGTGTTGGGGAAAAGAGGCTGAGGTACTTTGGTAAACATTTTGAAACACCTCTCAATTCACAACATAATCAATAGCACATGAAAGACGTGAATAAGTGCAGAGAGGAAAAAAAAAAAAAAACAAACAACAAAAAACCCATAACACCTTTAACACTTGCCATTCAACTAAGGGACTATAGATATGCTTTTGCGTAAGGCATCCATTCACATGTGTAACACACAGGAAGCCACCCTACATTAATATCCACTGTGAACAGGTCTCCTGAAAACGTGATTTTTAAGCTTTTTTTTTTTTTTAAACAAACAAACAAACAAACAAACTAGTTCTGGCATTGTGTTTCTGTCTCAATTGGCTATATGCAAATACTTCAACAAGCAAAGTGTTCATAACAGTCTAACTGTATATGTTTCTTTATGTCTTTTTTTGGTTTAAAAAAAAAAAAGAACAGCATGCTTTTATATTTGCCTATTGCACAATTCGTAAATTTTTCATTCTGTTCCCTATTGAAGTAATTCCACTACTAGACTGAACAGCTCCACAGAACCGTTTGGTCTGTTAGCTCAAGGACTTCTAGAACAAAATAATAACAATTAAAAAAACTCTAATTAAACTATTACATACAAATGTACTGAAACAGCCTTGGAGAGTTCACGAGTAAACAACACTTGTTTAAAAAACAAACAAAAAACACCTCTGTAATAAAATACAGTACAGTATACAGATGATATACCATAATGGCTCCAGATGGAGCTGTTACAGATTACAATAATGAATATAAAATGTTTATTATGGGTTTCAAAATTGCAGGTAAAAAAAAAATCTGCAGGGGATATGTAAATCAAAAAACAAAACAAAACCCACCCACCTACTTTAAAGGTTCTACCCACAAGCTGATTCATAATCAATAAAAAATAATGAACATTACATCTGAGCAAGCACTCCATTGTAAGCCAACTCATAGTGCCAGATTACTGCACTGTGTGTTCACAGACTTATTGCATCTGTTGGAACACTGCAAGCTATCCTGATGATGGCTGGAGTACTAACACAGATTTTCAGTCTTCTTTCTCAATTTCTCCCTTTGTGTACTTAGGTGAGAGTGTTAACATTCTTACAACAGCTTTATAGAAGCAACAGAACACATATTTCTGTTATTAAATCAGCCTTCTAAAAATATAAAAATATCTGATATTGTGAAAATGTCTTTCAATCATACTTCAATTTTCATAGTTTTAATAAGGAATACCTAATTAGAACCATTGCTTTAGAACTATGATGTGCATTCAGTTGATTTCGTGTAAATAGACAAACAGTTAAAAACATTTACTAAGATTAAATATAGTCAAATTGCAAAAACAAATAATCTGACAATGCTGTCATGTGCTATTTCAAAGAGTGCATAGGACATATTTCTGCAGCAGTCAATACAGTAAATTCTTTTGATGCGATCCCAGGTCAAAGCTGTAAACATTCCTAATTGCAGTTTCTTGGAAACTTTTTGTTCCTTTCAAGTTTTTATTAGCACATTGCACTGGGCTTTCCCCTGCCATTTTTTTCACCAGTTACAGACAGTATCATGATCCATCTTTAATCCTTCTGGTTCTTCAAAACTACTCAATAAGCATTTCTTCACTAGATTCAGGGTAGTAATCCTCTCCTTGCAGTGCACAATGACACCTTCCACGTGCCATTGCTAGCAAGGCCCCCAGTGCATGATCTTGAGAAGCAGGCTGAGGAGGAAGTCTGCTATGCCTTAATAGGATTTCCTGCAGGTTTTGGATCATAACCATACAGGAAAGTAGCTGCTATTACAAGGATGGCTCCGAAGAAAAAGACACTAAATAGAACAGGAACAGAAGAAAAAAAAAAAGTTAGTTGGTTTTAGTCAGCACAATTTTATTTATGTAATACAATCAAGGGACATTTTTCCTTTGGGAACAAGCAAAGCATCAATTTTATTCATTCAATTTATAATGAACAACATTATTTCCATATATTTCTTAGAGAAGAATGCAGGAAGAATTTGAAATAAATAAACCTAATGTATCATTACACTGACATATTTTGAAATAGCTTCATGGAAGAACTGTCAAAGGTAATCAGACTGAACTTTGAGGGTTTTTTTTCATTTTGACTAAGGCTCTATTCAAAATTCAAGAAGAAGCTAAAGAATTGCATCTTCTGTAGCCACCCAGGCATTTTTAGCATCTGACATACATCATGCTGTTGGAGTTATGTTAACTTTGAAGTCCAAAGCTTGTGTCAAAACTAATTACTGCTGCCCATGAACCAGCTGCAAATCAGCATAAACTAAGTTTTGGCAGATGCATAAATATTTATGTAAAGATCAGATAATAAAGACATCTTTTGTATTGTGATGTATGGGCCTTTCAAGTTGTTTTGATAGCTACAAGTACACATTTTAGAAAAGAACCTTGTAATAACGACATGCTAATGTTGACGATCTGATTTTCCATGCTGAACACTAAAAAAAATTGTGTCATATGACAGGCAAACTGTATTCACTGAAGGATTATCGTATTTCAGGACATGATCCATTGCAGCAGATTTAAGCACTTAAGCACAAAACATCTACTATCCCAATCAGAAATGTTTGCTGAAGTGAGAAAAAGAATTAGGGAATTTCAGTTCAAATAAATTCTGTTGGCATAAGAACACACTGAAGAGTAAGTTCTATTAAACTAGATGGATTCAAGTTGTACATGCTGCTAGTTGGCTCTACGTCATTTAATTATTTACCAGTTTCCATTTTCACCATGTTTGCAGAGGCTAGTAAGTTACTTATTAATTTCTATTTAAACACACAGAATGTTTTAAACCTCTAAACATTTAACAGTAGGCTACTTATAAATTAAGTCTGATGCGTTCCATTTTTAAGTCCTAATCATTTGTTCTGCTTTCACAGAATCACAAAATCATCTAGGTTGGAAGAGACCTCCAAGATCACTGAGTCCAACCTCTGACCTAACACTAACAAGTCCTCCACTAAACCATATCCCTAAGCTCTACATCTAAACGTCTTTTGAAGACTTCCAGGGATGGGGACTCCACCACTTCCCTGGGCAGCCCATTCCAATGCCTCACAACACTTTCGGTAAAGAAGTTTTTCCTAAGATCCAACCTAAAACTCCCCTGGCGTAACTTAAGCCCATTCCCCCGCGTCCTGTCACCAGGCACGTAGGAGAACAGGCCAACCCCCACCTCGCTACAGCCTCCTTTGAGGTATCTGTAGAGAGCGATAAGGTCGCCCCTGAGCCTCCTCTTCTCCAGGCTGAACAAGCCCAGCTCCCTCAGCCGTTCCTCGTAGGACTTGTTCTCCAGGCCCCTCACCAGCTTCGTCGCCCTTCTCTGGACTTGCTTGAGCACCTCCATGTCCTTCTTGTAGCGAGGGGCCCAAAACTGAACACAGTACTCGAGGTACCTCCTAGCTTCTCCAAGAATGGAGAACTCCACCATTTTGTGGTCACTCTGCCCAAGACAGCTCCTGACCACCACATCTCCCACCAGTTCTCTGTTTGTGAATAGAAGGTCCAGAGGGGCACCTCCCCTGGTAGACTCAATAACCAGCTGCGTCAGGAAGCTATCTTCCATGCTCTCCAGAAACCTCCTAGACTGCTTCCTCTGAGCTGTATTGCATGTCCAGGATACATCTGGGAAGTTGAAGTCCCCCACGAGGACAAGAGCTGATGATTTTACAACTTTTGCCAGCTGCCTGTAGAATTCCTCATCCGTCTCCTCATCCTGGTCGGGCAGTCTGTAACAGACCCCCAACCAGGATGCCTGCCTTGTTGGCCTTCCCGCCAATCCTAACCCATAGGGACTCAACCTTATCATTCCCAGTCTCAGCCTCAAGATCCACAACATCAAAAGACTCTCTAATATAGAAAGCCACATCACTACCCCTTCTGTGCTGCCTGTCCCTTCTGAAGAGCCTATAGCCAGACACGGCAGCACTCCTGTCATGGGAGCGGTCCTAGTGATGGCAACCAAGCCATAGCCTGCCTGCTGCACGATGGCTTCCAGCTCCTCCTGTTTGTTGCCCATGCTGCATGCATTGGTGTAGATCCACTTCAGCTGGGCCACTGCCTGCAACCCCGGGCCTGACATTTTTCTCCCTGGCACACCTCTAACGAGCCTTATTCTCTCCCCATCCCCCTTCCTACCTAGTTTAAAGCCCTCTCAATGAGCCCTGCCAGCTCCTCCTGCTAGTATTGCAAATACTACTTTTAGATTAAAAAATAAAGTTTTATTTATATCAGAAATATTTTAAAACTAGGAATGTATATGATATATGAGAAACATAGGTCCATTATGACCGATGGTCCTATTGTTTACATTGACTTGGACAGGCTGGAGAAGTGGGCCCATGTGAACTGAACGAGGTTCAACAAGTCCAAGTGCAAGATGCAAGGCACCTGGGTCGGGGCAATCCCAGACAGGAGCACAGCCTGGGAGAAGAACCCCCTGAGAGCAGTCCTGCAGATAGAAACTCAGGGATTCTGGCAGACAAAAGGCTCGACATAAGCCAGCAGTGCTCACTTTTAGCCCAGAAAGCCAACTGGACTCTGGGCTGCATCGAGAGGAGTGGTCGGCAGGGGAGGGAGGTGATTGTGCCCCTCTACCCTGCTCTGCCCTTGTGAGGCCCCACCTGGATTACTGCATCCAGGTTTGGGGCCCTGAGCACAAGAAAGAGGTGTAGTTGTTAGAGTGAGTCCAGAGGAGTCCAAGAGCAACTAATCACTATAATGTAATTTCCACATGTGAATGACTGCAATAATCACTTTCAAACACTTCTTTTAAAGACAATCTTTGAGATTGGATGACGAGCAGTATAAAAAGATTATTATCATTATCGCTGTTCCAGCCAGAAGCCATCTTGCAATGAGGTGACTTGCCTAAGATACTGGCCTTTAGAAGCTAACTAGTGAACAAGAGTAATCCCTTAGTCCCAACCTTATTCAGAACAGCCACAAGGGGGAGATTAGTTCAAGGAGCAGAGCTAAACGCAGTGCAAGGCGAGCATCAAACCTAATGAGGAATGAGCTGAACCAACAGTGAGAATGGGTGGAGGATAGAAAGAAAAGAACAGTGAACTAAAACATAGAGCCTGGAATAAAGAGGATGTTTTGGCAAAAGATGAAATTTGAGATTCAATTATTTGTGACCTGTAGGGTGCTCTATCTTACAGAAAATTTGATCTTGCCAATTATACTGCAAAATTTAAGCGTTAGTTATGTTATGAAACTATTTTTTTCTGTGGGAGTTGAATCTAAATATTTTATAAAGGCTTATTTATTTATTTATTCATTTATTTAGTAGTTACATCTGGTAAGCATTAAGTTTTCAACTACTATTTTTTTTCTGTACACATGGAAAAAAAATTCTTACCTTGTAGGAACAAAATCCTGAAGCCAGAAATAGGAGATCAATGTTGACAGTATAATAGAGAGAGAAGTTGCAAATCCCTTTAAAATGTTGTCTGCATATTTTATAACAGCAGCAACGACCAGGCCTCCAAGTGCCTGAAAAATAAGTTTGAAAATGAAGTTTGGATTTGCAATGTGATAATTCCACTGGGAGCATCTATGCTTAACAACATACACTTACTTCAGGAAAAGCTTTTGTCTATGTATAGAAACATTTATTTTCTGCTATGTATATACTCTGTTGAAGATGAGTAGTGGTGTTCTTCAATTTCTAATAAATAAGTTGTTTATCATATTACCATTATTAAATCAGTAGAAAAAATTATTGTACTTTACACTTGCAGTTTTAGCCAAAGGAGAAAGGGCATACATTTTTTCTTCCTTTTTTTTTTTTAAGCATTGCAAAAGAAAAAATGCTTACATGCTTTTATGTTGCACAATAGTTAATCATATACTTGCTCTGAATTCCCCAGGTTTTTATTTAGAAGTTAATTCTAATAGTGCTGTATCAGACTTAACTATAGAACTCTCAGTAGCTTCAATTACACTAATTTACCCAGTCATTTACAGAAAAGTTAAGTCCCTAACTCACAAAGCATGATAGAGGATATCTCACCTGTAGAACAACAACTATCCAAGTAAGTTGATTATATCCTTGAAAAAATCCATTTTTTGACAGCTGTTCTCCATCATAAATGTATACACCCATCAGTCCAAATATGCTACCAAAAAATCCTGAAAGTACAAGATGGATTTAAAAACTTCAGGCAAAAAAAAGCACGCAAACAGGTTCCTTGTTCAAGGTCTGCTCACATATATCTGAATCGAAAATAGGACTTGCACATCCAACATCACCACATTCAAATGCAATCAGTGTTCAGATGGATCATCCCTTTTAAAAAGCTATTTTCCACATTTATATCCACATTTTTTCCTTGTGTCCACTGTGACATTCTTATACACATATCTTTCATTACTTTCTACTGAAATAAGGTGATTTTTGTTTATGGCATGTAAAAAAACCTTACTTAAGCACAATTTCAGTTTTTCTGAAACTTGTCATGACTGAAGGCTGAAGTCACACTTCAGGAAGCAAAAACAGGGAAACCTTTCAGAGGAGGAGATGGCCACTGGCATGGCAAAAGAGGGACTGATCAGTTCAGTTTTGGAAGCACCCCACTTCCAAGACCTTTGTCTGAGCTAGCAGCCTCAAACACAATGAACATTTACTAGCACTGACAACATCAGAAGAAGAAACCTAGGTGAGATTTTAAAGTTTCTAATTTGGTGACTATTTGGTGTTCTGCTATCAGACAGGAAGCTTTCTGCAATCCCCTCAGGAAATAAGTGATGAAAGCATCTCCTCTATGACTGATCTAGGCTCTAGTCCTGAGCAGGAAAGGGGAAGCATTTACTCCACTCCATTTCTGTGAATAGCTGACTGCTATTTTCATTGTTTTTTCTTGCATCTGGAAAGAAGGGCCTGGTTTTGAGTGAAGTAAAACCTTCCATTTGACATTAAATATTTTTTTTTTGTAGACATACTTAATAATTTAGATTTGACTCATATGAAACCAATTATTTCTCTTTTCTTGCTGAGCCGCTAAAATACAGAAACAAGAAACCAACTACTTATACATCTCAGATAAGATACTAGCATGTGTTAGAAACTGAATGAGGACAATTTTTCAAAAAATATTCAGACATTGTTTTCATTTTTTCCTACAGTTCTAATAAGTCTCTACGGATATGAAAATGAACATCAGGTTGGATGTATGATTTTTGTTCTTTGTATTTTAAGTAAAGCTCTGTTTCAAAGCTCTTGCTTATGACTGACTTGTTTGTGAATGATATAACATCTGAAGTGGGTAACTATCTTGCACTTGCAGAAAGGATACACTAAAGTATTTCTGAAATTATGGTTGAATGTTTTAAATATTTTCTAAAAGCTGTATCAGGAAATCCTTTATGAAATACGACAAAATTAATTTCATTTCTGAACTGAAAAACAAATGTAACAGGAAACATATTCTACTGAATTTTCTATTGAAGCAAATTAAAAAAAATAAATCAGGTGATCTGATTTTCACTACTCTTACAAACATTTATGTCTTCATACATCACAGTCCCAGTTATTCGTTATCTTAAACTGTTTATGTTAATATGCAATCTGTTCTGATCTCATTGTTTTCATGAAACAGTTACTGAAACATTCAATGTATGACCAGGCTTACTATCAAACTAGTAAAGTCATTTGCTTTCATACATACAATTGCGCACTGTAGAAAAATCTGAAGAGTACTTTTTAAGGATTATTGCTTTTTTCAATAACTCTAAGTGTTTAAGTGGAATTTGTATCTGATATCTGCACTGTGGCATACCATAGTGCTATGGAAATTCAGAGTAATAATCAGTTCAAATAGTCAACAGCCTGTCTACACAGTTATTTGGGCTTTCAGCCAATCTGTGAAAGAAACAAGAAGCAATACTCATGTTTTTGCTTCTTACCTGTTCCAAATTGAAAGCCATTCAAACTACCTGGCAAACAAGTATGCAGGACTGTAACACGAGGGGAGAACAAAAAGCCCTGTTTGCATGTGGTTAACCATGGTTACTGGCTACGACTGGGAAGGGAAAAGGTCACAACAGCATGAAGCCACAGTGCATCACAAGTTGCATCCTCTGGTTCTACTTTCAGCTGTCTGTGCCAGCAGATTTTACATTACATCCAACCAGAACACCAAAACCCTGCCTCAGACCCTGGACCAAGCCCCAGCCACTCATCCTTCTCTGCCTCCATAAATTCCCTAACATAACCTTTCCTGGTATATCCCTGGTCAAGGAACCTTAGTGTTAATGCATACAATTTCAATAAATGTTAACAAATATTAGCGATTAGCTAATTAAAAAACAAACAAACAAAAACCACCACCATCTCCTGTTTTTATGTTACTTCATTACCTTTTACAAGACCCAGTACACACCCCGATGAAACAAAATATCCTTATGACTTAAGTCTACAGTACTGTGAATTTGGTCAAAGGTCTATCCTAAGTGTTATCCTAAGTTCAAATTCTGCCCACAAAATTTACTTAAATATGCAATAAAAATTATTGCCTACAGATGAGGACCAGAGGTACCCCATTAGAGGAAGAAGGCAAGTCCATCAGTCAGTTGTGTTCCTATTGCAAAAACAGGGACAAAAAGGTATTGCTGTTGTGGTATTTCTCATCTTACAAACTGGACAAGATTGCTCTGAGGTGAGGGAAAACACATTCAGGAAAATGGATCAACTCTGTCATCATTTATATCTATGGTCTAGAAGACATAGAACTACTTTGGAAATAGAAACTATTCCCTTACTAATAGGTGCCGGCATTCAAATAGTTAGGATGAACATACCTTTCTTTGGTGATTACATAGACAACTTAAACAAACTGACCTTTGTACTGAGATAATCGTAATAAATTACCTCAACTTTATTCACTAATGTATGAGTTCTTTTTGTATTAAAAGTGCCAAGCTATAAAAACTTCCTATCCAGACAAGAGAAAAAAATGTTAATTTTAAAATAGGTCTCAAAGCATTGTTTTAGGAACATAGTTATTTTTAATGTTCCTATGCTCTCTAAGAAAAATAAAAAATATGGAGAAAAAAAAAGCTACTATGTACATTTATCTGATTAATTAGTGCAAAAGACACAAAGGATATACAAAACTCTGCATAAGATAACATTCCTTAGAACATTTTAAATACAAATTCAATTCACAGATTCTGGACAAACTTACAAACACTCTATAACCAAGTTAAATCAAGAACTAGGTTGACAGCAGAAAGCAATTCCTAGAACCCTATCTAGCAGAGTTTAAACTACTCTTATTTATAAAGTACGTTTATGCAGAATAATAAAATGTTTTTGGTATTTTTTATTTTTTGCACATTTATCTTTAGAATACAGTATTCCTGTTGTAACAGAAGACTAAAATTAAACTTACCAAGCTGAATGTTTCTGATCCACACAGACTGCTTAGTTTCCTTCAAAATTTTCTCAAAATAAACTCCAGCGAATCCACTAGAAAAGCATGCTATAAGAACTGCCATCAGGCCTACAAACTGAGATCCTGCTGAGTGTTCCTTAGCAGCTGTTGCTTGAGAGTCTGAAGGCCACTGGATATAAAAACAATTATTCAAATGTTACTGTTACAATAAAGTCATAAGCATCTATAACATGCAAGTTTTTTTTTTTTCTTAAGCAATATTAGTTACTAAATGCATCATATGCTTGTAATGTTTTGCATTTTGTATCATAAACACTTCTAAAGAACTGCAAAATCATAACTTTTCTTTCTATGTATTTATAACGAGTAAAGTTGTGACTCAGCTGGGTGAATACCTATCAATTTAAACAGGCCAGAATTTTATCTGACACATTCCTGGACTGTCAGCACTGTTTCTGAATCCCAATGTGATCTGTCCTGGTTATTCACAGTCACTAACTTTTACCACATGCCAGTTAGTTACCTATTCTCCATACAAGTATAAATCAGAATACCACTTATAACAGCTATATACACTCAGATAAATCAGAATATACACTTATAACATCTGTCTTTAAAATGTGATGAATTGCCTTTTGTGTGTGTCATACAAAATCACTCTTCAGTGTGAGAGCTAAAACATGCTGAACTTTGTGAAACTAAACCTCACAATATCCCTAAAGGTAACAGAATAAAAGGCGATGCCATGGACAATGTATTGAAGAGACTATTAATTACTGTCAGAATATTCTGTTCTCATTTTTAATTATTAAATTTGAAAGTTCCATAACATTTAATCCTTAGAATTTAAAAAAAATAAATCTTTAAGATTTAAGATAAAAAAATTTATGATATGCTAAAATCTGTTAAAAATTCTTAGAATAGCCTCTTATCCCCAGATCCTACCCTCTGAAAACTACAAACCCCTGTAGCTATATCATTTGGAATGAATTTTGCTCCCAAAATGGTTTGAGTAAATTTGCCATGGTGAAACTGTATCATAAGGTGAGCAGCAGGACTGTGCTATCATGTAAGGCCTGTGAATCCAAATCACTAATGTCAGAAAAATGTGCAAATAAATACTTGTAATGCTGTTATTTGAAGGATGCTCCAGAGGCTCAGTCACATGCTACAGCAGAACACATGAAGAGGTTGCTATCTTTTGCTTTTGAACCACTTCTGGTGTCCTGTAGCCCTGGCCAATTGTGATATGTAGCTCCTGGCTGTACTGTTACGGGCATAGAAGGTGGTAGAATCAGGAAGCTGTATAATCAGGATACAAACTCATGTTCCTTGATTAAACACATTACACAAGCACATTAGAAACCACCTGCTACTATTTACCTGCACAAATGCCACTCCTGTCATCAAAATCACTAATGACAGCCACTGGTATACGCCCAATTTCTTGCTTAACATGGACACAGAAAAGAGTGCCGTGGTAAGAATTTTCAGTTGATATGTAACCTAAAAGAACCCAGAAACAGTTATTACCACACAATTCATATTTCTTCCCCACCCCCTTTTTTTTTTTTTTTTTTCAAACTTACGGAGCAATCCAAATGTACAATACCTGGTATGTGGCTGCATCTAGGTTTGACAATGCTACATACAGCAGGTTATTCTGAAGAGTATAAATTCCTGAAGGAATTGCAAGTTTAAGAGTTTCCATGGGCTTATTAAGGATTTCATCATGTAACACTCTGTTCAGAGCCCGTAAATTGCACTCTACCAAAGAAACACACAAATAGACATTAACTAACTGGAGAGGGGAAAAAAAAAAAAAAAAGGAGAGAGCAATGTACAGTTCTCAACATTACTGTCCTCTTTCTATAGCTGTCACCACTATCAAGAACTCAAGATACTGTATAATTTTTGTTTGGTTCTCATAAGCCTCATCTTTTTAAAAACGTTCTGCAAAGTGTCCTGCTGTCCTAGACTATCAGAACTAGAACAATTATTTAAACTATGTTAATGTAAAACTTATTAATAATCATATATATTCAAGATGATACATTAAAGAACATCAGCTTAACAGTACACATTTAGGAGCCTACAGAGTCAGCAATATTTTTGCATATATAATGATGTTTTATAATTACTGAAGACCAAATATGTATGTCAAGGAATTGGATAAATGCAGTATAAAATATAAAAGATAAGAATGATAGAGTAAATGCAAATATACTTTTTTTTTTTGAGCTTAAGACTGTGCTTCTTTCTGTATTAATGAAATTGCTTCCTTCCTCCAGCATCTACGTCATTTTGTTTGCTATACGTTTCTACATTACCATTCATGTTTTTTCCTACTTCTATTTATGAATCTCCTAAAATGCCTGAAAAACAAGCTTCAAGCTGCTAGTAGAAAATTTATTCTTGCATACCTTAGTATTCATATTCAAAGAGAATGCTCTTCAGCAAATAGACAATATATTATGCGTTGAGAAGTGAAGTATGACTACAGTCTTTCCAAGAATATTTCTTAAATGAGAAGGAAAATGTTTTATTGTGGGCCCATACTCACATGGCTGCCTTGCAGTTGCTATTACAATACAGCATATTGATTACAAAAATTACTAGGTGCAAAATTTAACACATACTGCTGTCTTTGTAGACCAATAGAATACAGGTTAAAATCTTCAGGAGTTCAGCAAGAACTACTGCAGTAGAGGATAAGTAACGAGGTCCTTCTTCTTTCAGTGTCCGAGAGTAACGCATGGTCAACACTAGACTTGTAGTCTGAAAAACCAGGATGCTCAAGGAAAGGTACTTTAAATTGGTAGACATTTCTTGATTATTTTTTTCCTGAAACAGAACCAAAACAAACAAACAAACAAGAAAACAAACATATATAAAAACAGGCTTAAAAGGTAACATCGCAAACAGACATTTCCCATAGGAATCAGCATATTAAAAATGTTAGCCAGAGACCTCAGCCAGCAAAAGAAAACAACGAACCTAAGCTGATATTTAAAGAGAAAGGAGATTAACACTTTAGAAATATTTTTAAATACATGATTAGAAATGGGGAAGCATATTAGAATATTAAACCTAACAGTTAATAGAATAATTCAGTGGAATATTTCTTATCTGTTAAAAAAAGTCAAATAAGGACTCCTAACTTACAATTAACTTTCCAATAACTGGTTTCACAGAAGAAATCTCTGAAGTTAAACCAGTCACAGACCTTCTGAGCCTTCACCTATATAAGAGATACCTTCAAAATATCAAATAAAAAGCCCCATACTGTGGTATTGCAGAATGCTCAGTACACCTGCTGCAATGAGCTATCCCCACAATGGAGAGGTGGAAGAAGGAGATCTCTCTCTCTCTCTCTCTCTTTTCTGAAGAGTTTTTCAGGCTGCAATTTCTGCCCTGCTAGGTGATGTCGTGACAGTGTAAGACTGGGTGAGGACTGGCCTGCTTTAAGTGAGAGTAAGGGGTGTGCCTGAAGCCGAAAGAACAGGAGACTTGTGGGGAAGCAGGGCTGGACAGGAAGACACAGAGGATGGTGGGGCAGCAGGGGAAACAACACTAATTCTGTCCTGCTGATTATCCTGCTCAGAAAAAAAGAGCTGCATAAAAGTGATTGCACCTACTTTCTCATACTGCACTTAGTACCACAAACCTTACACTAGTAAAACTGTATGCCCTTCATACCTAGAATGAACTTTCAACAAAGCTGACATCATTTCTTTGCCCTTTCCCAAAAATTTGAGCACTAACTTAGTGCAGGAGACTATCAGATAGCAATTCTGCTTTTGGAAGCACGATATATTGCAAGGAAATTCAAAAATGCACCAGGGTTATTCAGAATGTTATACTGTTTTCTGATATTCTTTATACACGTTAAGTATGAAGAAGATCCATCTATGCAGAAATGTTTCCATTTAGAAAATTTAATGTTACAGTCTTTACTACCCACTTATTCAAAAAACAGAGCAGTGTTTTATAATGCCGAAATAAAAGCAAACCAGTAATTAAAAGTTAACAAACATTTTTAAGTAAAAGAAAAATAGTAACAAGTCAATACATTGCATGAAGTTCTAATTTTTAGAAGTGTAAAGCTGATGTGTAGTACTTCTTGGATACATTTGCCAAAGCTGCCCCTATACACGCTTTACATTTACAGAGTGCAACATTTTTTACACAAGCTTTGACTCTTAACCATCTAGTTTTGTACACGCTGCAGAACAACATGCTGGTACCTCTAAATATTTGCAACTGAAACTGAAGTGGTTTCCCTCTGTGACTGCACTTCTCTAACTAAAGATGCACTTCACAACGATTGTCATGGATATTTTTTCAGAGATCTGCAGACCTGTGTTATTCAAAATTATTCAAATTGCCCTTACCCTGTCTCTAAGCTGTAGACGATTTTTTGCAGTCAAGCCTAGAAAGTCAACTGGGCATCTATATGGCATCTGCACTTAAGAGACACCGCAGTAACCTACATTTCCTACAATATATAGTTGTTTACCTCAAGAGTCATACGGCTGCCAAAATATTTGCAAAAGCCTAATAGAAAAGGAGAAATAAAAAGATGCCTGGAGGAGAAGCTGAAGAAGCACAAGAATTTCTTTAAGGAAACTTAACCAAAGATACTTTTGTATGAACTATAACTTCATACCTTCTTCACATGAATTCTAAAGATGCAGCTGCAGAGAACAGTATAAATCAGACAGAAATGTAACACATGAAGAAAAGCGCAGACAAAAGTTCAGTTTTACTAACTTTTTCAAAGAACAAGTTCTGATGGAATAACCCCTGACATAAGGATAACTGTAACCACACATCCCAAGAACAAAGTGGAGAACAGTTAGTCAGGGAGAAGCACCTCCAGGAGTACATTTGCTATAGCTGAGAACAAGGAGGAGAAAGAAGAAAAAGAACGGTTTCTCTGAAGCGATGAAGAGAGGACATGAAAGATCAGACGTCATACCCTCTGGGGAACTACCAGCAGAATAGAGAAAACTGAGGGAGAAAAAGGAAAAGAAAAAATAATTCCACTGACAGAGAAGACAGAACTGAACTTTATAAAAAGGTCTGGCTATGCTACAGGAAAAAACTGGTAGGCAAACGCACATTTAGAGGCCAACTCACACCATTTCTGTGCTGCTTTTCCATCTACCTAATTTTTTAGTATTGAGACCTGAAAATCTGGATGTACAAAGAGCAATACGTGGTTATGATGAACAACACAATATCATAAAAATACACTTACATATAAGTATTTATTTATTTTTAAACTTTTTGGTTTTCATTTTTCAAAAAGCTTCTGAACAAAATATAGGTAATGGGAACACACATCTCTGCTGAACTGTGACCAAAATTTCTGCGTTCTGCGAGCCTGTAAAGTGACAAATTATTTTAGACATGTTCACAGTTCTTGGAGTTCAATAATTCAAATGAAATAGGTCACAATACCAAAAAATAACATTCACATGCATTTCTTGCTGAAATACAACTATTTACTAAGCAGCTTATAGTATACTGTGCAGTGTAAAAATGTATCACCAATACCTTGTTTATGAGCAAGCATCAAAGCATTCATATGAAAGCCTACCGACATGCACGGCAGTTTAGTAAGCCCAGCAGCAAATCCATAAGGAGCACATACCATGTGGTCTTGAACTACAGTATTATCCTGATTAGTAATCATGATCCAAAAAAAGGGGACTTTCCCCACAGTAATAGTACTGATGTAATCTTGCTTCCAGAAACACAGTCACAACTCCACCTTGTCCCATTTACCAAGCTGCTTTGTGAAGCCAAGCAACGTGTCCAAAAAAGCACCAGTAGCAGAACGTGTTTCTTCACAATAATCCACCAAAGCAGTTTCAGAGTTTCACCAAATTCAAAAAAAAAAAGGACTTTAAGAGTCCAGTTTGATAGCTGAATAGACTAAAAGCTGTCTTGTCAGTGGTCAGCATGACAGGTTTGCAGAGAACCAGTTTCATGCCGTACTAAAACTACAAAAGGTTCACCGAGCAGGAACTACGTAGTTCAGATCCTTACACGTCCCAATGAACTAAGCACTCTGCTGAGCAAACAATGTCTTATCAACCATCCTCATCTCTCTTTCCTGCTTTGATAACATTTGCATATCAGTCCTTAATCCTGAGTGCAAACTGGGGACTGGATCCAGAAGACGAGCCAAGTGCTGAACTTCAAACATCCGACTGTCTTCAGCTGCAGTTTCACAGGGGGTTTAGATCTACAGGTCGCTGCCAGCGGGGTAATCACCCACCTAGCCAGGAGTTCCTGCTACCCCTGCTGCAACGGACTGTGCAGTCATAAGCAAGATTAAATACTGTCATCAGTAACAGCCTGCACCTTGAGGTCTGAAATCAATACTGAAATCGAAGTTCCTGACCCGCTTCTTGTGTACAGGGTTCCTCCCAGGCCTGGTTTCTCGCTGGACTTTGGCCGGGCTGCTCAGGACTCTGCAGCAAGCATCTGTTCACCAAGCAGATCTACACGTGCTAATTCAAAGGCTGCGCGTTCAGTGGTCACGTTAACCCTGCGACTTTATTAGCCTCATTATCTTTTTCTTTTATTAGTCCAGGTAAAAGAGAAAAACACAGTACAATAAACTGCTCCTGCAGAGTTTACTCAGCAAACCTTGTGGCCGCACCCTGCGGTAACAGCAGGAGGTGAGGAAGAGGTGAGAGGCAGGCGCGCACCCAGAGCCTGCCTGCAGGGAGCCAAGGTGGCATTTCATCCGCTGGGGATGGCAGTACATGGGGGGAAAATGTACAGGGATGCTACTTGAGGAGCTGTTCTCCTCAAAAACAAAAGGGAGGAGGACATGGAAAAGGTTTTGCAAGCATGAGAAAATGATAAAAAAAATCACAACTATACAGGACACACTGACCTTCAGCTCATAAAATATCAGACTGTGGGAAGTCTGGAAAATAACCACTGAAAGGAAGCAGACTTTTAGAAGTGTAAAATCACCCTTTTCCACTTCGCAATATTCTTTCAGACAGAACGAACGCATTTCTGACTTGCAGATTTTCATTTCCTTTAGTAACTTCTCCACAACAGGCTAAAATTTTACATCTTCAATTTTACTTTAATATCATTCTTACACTGTCCTTCCCGAAATACTGGTAAGCCCCACTGTTTACAGATGTAACATATTAGGTCAAAAGGAACACAATCAACTTGGCTTAATTAAACCTAAACGTAAACCTAGAGGGTGTATTTATTTTCCTCTCTCCGCTCTTGAACAAAACCCACAAATATTATCCGAATTTACTACATGAGCAACAAGAAGAAAATGACAGGACTTTTCTTAGCCTTAAAACTTCTGTCTCTTAAAGATCTGACTGTATAAACTTTTGAGCTTCTCAGCCGCTATATATCCACAGCAGGAGAATCTTGCACAAAATTAAGGGTTTGTTTAAGAGTTTATTCTATTCTCGAGTTTGTAGGAGGTCTCCAAATGTAACAGAATTACTTTTGTTACAGATACCTAAACCACTAAAAAAGAGAATTCTAGCAGGAAACATGACCAACCTATCATAAATAAAATGCCTCATTAAACTCAGAGACAAGAGACCATCCTGAGACACTGCCCAAGGGCAGTTTAGTTACACTGCATATGAGGAGATCCCTTCCACAAGCCTGGTCTGACACCGTGGGCAGGAACGAAAGAGCACAGGGCGATCACACGGGTCCAGGTGCTCCCTAAATTTCACACCATGATGATGCAAAGAAATTAAGGTAACGTAAGCACAGAACCCCTAAGACTCAGCTTCGTCTAACACAAAGTATCTTATTTGATCAGCATGTTTCAG